AAAATTTTGTAATTGAAGAAACCTTTTTATATTTATGTTAATTAAATAATTATATCAATAAAAATACAATCTCATTCAAGACCTAAAGTATAAAATAATAAATAAGGTAAGAAATGATTTAAAAAAACTTTTTCCTATTAATTCCGTCCAATTTTTTGGTAATTCAATGTTGTATTATCTAAGATTCGTGAATAGTTATTTTTATTATGACTCTAATTAATTTTAAATTATTTTCCAATAAAAATTCTTTATTTGCATTCATATTGCATTTGACATACGAGTATATATAAGCACATGCGTTGTAATTGATTTGCTTTTGTGGAAATAGAACTTTTATTCATTCTCTTTCTTGTGTGAATTAGCATCGTCGATGGTGTTTTAGGTCAATTAACATTGTCGATGCTTTTATTAAGCTTAAATACGCTATGATTACAATTAATTATATTTTTGCACCATTATTCGATGATTATTAAATATTCGCGAAGCGAGTAAGCTCTTTTCATTCACTGTTTTATCTTCAACATAATCCTGGCGATTCTTTTACTGATTATAGTGATATATTTATATTGGTTTAGAGGAATTTCAAATAATATCAGAAATATAAAAGGTCATGTTTTTTTAAATTTTAAGTCTTTACAATTTATTTTCAAGAACATTCATTCTAAATCTCATTTTAAAGTTACACGGCAAAAAATATTTGTTATTGTAATTTATAAACACAATAAGATAGAGAATGTGTTTATGCGTCTATATCTGCATATAGGATTGAGGGTACGCCATCGGAAATAAATGAATACACATAATTGAGAGTTTTGAGTGTTCTTCGTTTTTTGTTTTTTTTACCTTCAAGGATTTGGCCTATTTTAGGTAAATACGAGGCTCACGATAACGAGTGATATTCTACCTTATTTATGGTAGCTATTACTTATAGTACCATTTCTACAGAATCAAAAGTATTTTGATAATTAAGATGGGAAACGTGTTTCAAAGAGTAGCAAAGAATATATCTCATCGTATAACCCCATTGTTAACTGAGTTAATATTAAAGGTTGGCAGAGAGCTGGACTCTCATGCGTGAGATCAAGAGTTCGAAATCAGCCGGCCGAAGACTCCCCGTGGTTCATTCTCTGATTCAGGTTAAAATTATTACCTGTGGATGAATGAAAGGGTGTATAACTGGGTTCAACCTATAAAACGGGTTGTGAAGTATATGTGGATGTAGTTATCGCTTTGGCCATAGATGACGCCACTCTAAAACAAGAACGATCACAACCCTTGTCTTAATGGCAGACGACAGCAACAACATAATAAAAAGAAATGTATCTTTCGTTAAAATTTAAGTATTTTTAAAGTACAATTTATACTACTTTCCATTTAACTAAAATACAAATGTTGAGCTTGCTACCAAAGGCTATAACTATGTTTGCGCTGCTTGTATGTTATTAACTCAAGGAAACGTGGATTTTTACCCCATCCATTTAATTTGTTTCGAAAGTAACGGAGAAATAGAATTAGAACAATGTTGCCGAATGCACTAGAATCAAATCGGAGTAACAAAGCGGTGACTTTGCAAAGGTATTTTATTTTATAACCGTCGTTGAACAACCGACCTAATTTAGAATTTACGACTACCAATGTTCAACTCTGTATTTTTGTAATTTTGAATCCAGTCTAGAAGACAAGGGAACTACTGGATCAAATATTGGGAGAAATTTGCTTCGTGGATGACTTTTTGATGGAACTAACCCGCATTTGCGTTACATGGAGAAGAAGACCACAAGAACCTCTCGCTGTTAGCCTGATGGCAAAGGAACTCTACCCATTGATCCGTCCTCCTCTGAGAATGGTTCACGTTAGCACTGTGGTCGGTGCAAGCCGAATGCGGTTTCGTATCGACCAGCCATCGTTGGGGTTTAAACCCGGTTCACCTTATGGGAAGGCGAACTCTCTATCCCCTAAGCCATCACGGCTCTCGTTAAGATATTGAAATTTCGTGCATTGTATTGTTTTTCTTAATCTTATTATTTACTAAACTATAACTATTACTAATTACACAATTAGGAGTATTCGCTATGTTAATTATGGAAAGATTATATCCTTATTTTAATTCCCGCACCTCAATTTGTGTTAAATTTGCAAAAACCTTTAATATACCAAAAATGTTTAAAAATAAAATAATTTAACCTAAATATGATATTATTTTCTGGAACGGACAGATGAAAATACTTTAAATGCAAATCATTTAGTTAAATGCTTAACTATTTCGAAAGAAATAATGAAATAATTCATTCGCATCGAGGAATTTCATGTTGTGAAACTTAAATTCAATTAAAATGATATTGAATTGAATTTTAGAATTGAATCTGTGTATTTAAAATATAATTTATGAAGGTGTAAAAATGTTTCTTATTTTGTTAACATTCCGACATAGCCTAATTATACAGCTGTATTTACATCATTTCTGAATATAAACTATTAATTAAATTATTAATGTTGCAAATTAATGTCAAAGGGACTGATTATTTAAAATTATGGTTTGAAAATAAATTTTTTATTGTATAATAGACATTTTGACCATGCTGTAATAAGATAAAAAGAAATTGTTTGTCTTTTAAAAAATGAACTTACTTTTTTCTTAAAGATATTCCTAAGGTAAAGGATGTAACAGATACAATATAGCTTTCTACTTGCTATCTTTGAAAAGGTCAGAATGTTTTGAAATTCGTTTAAGTCAATTTCACAAAAAAGTTTCATGTACAGAAAAGAATATCAACACCATATCAACTTTTAATCTTTTAACTGTATTTTCTTTTACTAAAATGTAATTTTAATAGTTAGAAAGGTTGGCAGTAAATATGCGAATTGATACCTTTAATGTGCAGATAATAAATCGAATACACAAATGCCGTACTGATCATACTTACTCATAGTTATGTCATTAATGCTTAATTTTATAGAGAATGTGTTGTCAGTAGCTACATCAGGAGATCAGTCTATTGTTTGAGGCTTATGTATCTGGAACTGGTAAAGAAAAATCCTAAGATTATCTTAGATTATCTTATTAAGATTACCTCCTTCTTAATCCTAAAATAATTTCTCCTGAAACAATTTTTATTACTATTTATTAAATTTTTCTAAAAACATTTTTTTAATTGCGAAATTTATAAATTCTTAATCAGTGCAAGACATTATAAATGTGTAATTTTAATTAAATCTGCCAAGCAATTTCTGAACAACAAAATTTACGAGAATCATATTTTATCTTTTTTCTATTTTTCCTTGCATTAAAAATGGTAAGGTAATTTAAAGTTAAGACAAGATTTAAATGTTATTAAGAGTATTATAATTGTTTAAATAAAATTTAATTTGTTCTGTTCTTGTGATTATTACGCATTTAAGTACAATTCTTCGACTTGATTGTCCCTTATATAAATAAGAAATATAGAAAATATCTAAAAAGACAATTTCCTTAATTACACACTGTTTCTCAAGTACGACACAGTATATTTTTCACACTATGATGTACATTAATAAGAATGATTTTAATCCGATAATATACGAAGTGAAAATATAAATGTCGTATAACATTGTTACGTAAATAACTTATATTTAATGAATTACTTTTCATAATATTTAAATTCAAAGGAAGCACTTAATTTGATCAAATTTTTGTAATTTAATTTAGAATCAGCATATCTATTTTGAGACAACAAATCGTTACGTGTAGAAAATATATAATCAACTTGTAATGGGATATTTTGGTTGAATTTACAAATTTAATGAATGAACCATTTAAAGCATGTAATGTAAATTAGTACATAAATTTCTAAATTCTTACAGAAAACTAATTTCGTAAACTTAANAATACACCCATTATTAACGGAGGTCCTCGATCGCGGGTACCGGCACACACGTCCCCGGTTGCAGGTTCTTGCGTACCTGTGTGTGTGTGTGTGTGTGTAAAACGTATTATCTACTAAAAAATTGTAACTTTTTTTAAAAATTTATTAAAGTTTCATTTTGTAGTCTTTCTTTTGTCTCTTTTCCTCTTGCCTATGAGAAGAAAATATACTTAATGTGAGAAAATTTCATGTCTTTTTGTGAAAACTTTATCAAAGTGCGAATATAATTTAACACGTGGAACAAAAACAAAATACACTTGATCAAATCTTGATCTAAGTCCAATCCTATAAACAATTTTCCTTACTATTCACTTGTTACCTTTGATACTCGTTAGAGGGCGTTAAGAGAGAAATATCACTAGGCTCTAGACCCAACACATTTGTGGGAATCGGAGGATGAAGAGGATAGTACATGCGCATGCGTACTAGGGAAAACCTTCGTCTCGTGTTGGTACCGGAGAAGTTACGAGTATATTGAAAAGTGCCTACTGAACAAGAAGCATTGGACTCTTTTTCTTTGTGAACGATAAGGAAATGTCAGGATTGAACAAAAACAAACAATTTATTTGAAGTTGTGCGCTAAAATATTTGCCATTACAAATTAAATTTAAGAATCATGATAACTGGAGAAATTTAAGAAAGCAGATGTCAAGCAATTTATTTTCTGACACGTTTGTTATAGCATGAAAATGATAAACAGTTTACGGTGTTCAGAATAAATACTTACATTTACTAAACATATTTCAATATCCAAAGTTAAAATAGTTATTTAAAAAGTCTTGTTTTGTTAAAAGAATAGGAAAAAAATTGTGAAAAATGTAAATAAAGCTATTTTTAATTAAGTTTTTGCCTAAAATTTAGTATGAAAAAAACAGTGGACATTATAAAAAAGGAAATAAAACAATTGATCTTGCATTAGATTTGCTATAATAATGTAAGTTAATCCATAATTAAAGTATAATGACATATTCTACTGTGTGTTATCAAATATAATGTATCTAAAGTTACTAACTGAGTATATAAAGAACCAACAGTTGTTAACAGTTGTATTAGTTATTTTTCTAAAACTGACAATTGGCTGTTACCAATTTCCTGCAGATGTGAAAGACCCATGTGTGGAAAAAGAATGCCATTTTGGATCAAAGTGTCGTCCGTCTTTGGATGGTCAAACAGCAGAATGTGTGTGTCCGGAAAAATGTGCAACGTATGGAGACAGTCGTGGTTCACGGCCTGTGTGTGGTAGTGATGGTAGGGATTATCCCAATGTTTGTGAACTAGAGAGAACAGCCTGCAAGCAAATGCGAGAAATAACAATAAAATACCAAGGTCATTGTGGTAAGTACCAAAGAAATTGATTGAATTACAAACTGAATATTTTATGTTATTTACAGCTTTAGATTAGTAGAATTAAAATGCCATATTTTAAACAGAATAACCAAAGAAATACCAAAGTACCAAAGAAATTGATTGAATTATAAACTGAATATTTTATGTTATTTGCAGCATTAGATTAGTAGAATTAAAATGCCATATTTTAAACAGAATAACCAAAGAAATTGATTGAATAATAAACTGAAAATATTTCATGTTATTTACAGCATTAGATTTGTTGAATTAAAATACGATAATTTGAACAGAATAACTAAAGAAATTGATTGAATTATAAACTGAAAATGTTTTATGTTATTTACAGTATTAGATTTGCAGAATTAAAATTTAAACCTTTGAACAGAATAAAACTGGGATTTTGTTTCTGAAAATTGCAGTGAAAATATTTAAAAAAAAAGTAATACTAAAATTCATTTTCTTGATTATTAATTTTAAATTTTCATTTCAAAATTAGGGGACAGCATGTTATTTTTAGAACTTACATGTGGAACTGTAAAATCTAACTCAATCCAAACCTATTGCATTAGTTAAAACTAATCCTGAATTTGCAAGATTTAAATGCATAAATGTTACAGAGGTTTATAATTAGGCAGTTATATAATATTAAATAATTTGCATAACCCTTAGCAATAATACGATAATAAAAGTTTCAATAGGTCTGACATTTTATAGAAAGTATTAGGTACATTATATTTATAGAGTATTTCGGCAAAACTTTTAAAACTAAAAAAAAATATAAATACATATTAAATAACAAAATAGAAAAGAGGGAAATAATTGAAAGACAGAAATAAAATTAATTAATTTTCTATTTTTTCTGTTATTGATCCTTAATTATTAACTGCAAGCAATGATTTACGAACAATCTTCACTATTAAGACTTAAAACTGACAAATATTGTTAAATGCACTAGAGTTTAAGCTTACAAATTTTTTTTGCGTAAGAAATATATCCTTACACATATTATTATTTTATTTAAAACAATTATTTTATTTTTTCTCCCTTGAGACTAATAATAAATAATGCAGAATTTTACAGGATAGAAGAATTAAACAAAAACGATATTGTAGTTAATGTTGCAATTAAAACAAAATGTAAATCTTAATGTAAGTTTAGAATTAGTTATTAGAATACTGTTGCTTTATGATAGTGAGGGTACTTCCCATGTACTAATAAACGTTATACATATTATGCAAATGTTATACTCGTTGTATTTATTTTTAAAAAAAGCAGAATACTAAATTAAAAACTATTTTCTGTCGTTTAAATTTCGATCCTGAACTAAAATGAAAGTGAAACTTTTCTGCTCAGCATAACGAATTTTTGTTATAAAAACAATCAATTTAGCATACTTTTTATATAAATGCATCAAAGTGACTGGAATGCTAAAAGGTTAAAGAAACCTGCAATATTCAGAATATTTTATGTACTTAGTCAAATTCATGGTTTTTTTTTCTATTTATGATATAAAATTCAATGGCTTTCAATATCGAAACTTTTTCCTTAACGTAAAAATAACTCTTTTAACTTTGTGATTGAGGAACTCATTACAGCTCATTTATGTGCGTTTTATTTTTAATCTCATGTTAACCTTGTGATTGAGGGACTCGCCACAACTCGTTTATGTGCGTTTTATTTTTTACCTCGTGTTAAAAAGTATTTACATGAGATAGGGAAAAATTAATATTTTTGAGTCGAAATATATCTGAAATAAGATAACTTAAAATATGTTACTTAAACACAATTAGCCATTTATGTGCTTCTCAATTAATTGTTTTATTAGATGAAAATGACATTTGATAGACTTAAATGACGCTTTGAAATAGTAAATTAATAATGCATACATTGAATTAGTTCTTTTTATGGTTTGAATCTAATTTAAATAATCAAGTATTGTATCAATATAAGTCAGTATCAATGCCAATCAAGTACTCGTATTAATAAATGGTTCATTATCAAATATTAATTAGTAAAGAATCTTAATAATGTTTTGCTGTGTTGCAGTATTAAACCTAAATGTTTATACATAACGTGAATTTGGAAGTCGAAATCTTAATTTAATAATGCATACATTGAATTCTTTTTACGTTGCTTTATATCTAATTTACATAATCAAGATATTTAAATTTGCTTAACTTTTTAGTTTTCTTTACTTCAGATCTAATTATATTTGAGTTTTAATCTTTAAGTTTTTAATTTTAAGTTCTCGTTTTAGTATACGTATTCTTATAAATAATTGGTTCATTATCAAATTTTAATTGGCAAGAAAACAGATTAAAAATTTTTCAATGTTACAGCATCGGTCATAAGTTTTGATAGCTTTTCATCGAATAGTGGATGTAAGAAATACCGGCAATTAATTGACTTTTAAAATTTTATTACTAATTTAAATATATAAGGTATTAATGTTTTATCAGTTTTAGAAATTAGTTTTTCGTTTTATTTTAGAGAATTCTATTTTTTGTCTCGTTGTATTAGGATGCACCTATTTTATTATTTAAATTATAACCAATTGATTTGGTAGTGAGTCGCATTAAAAGTTTTGCATTATTACAGTATTAATCTCTAGTTTTCAAATCTATATATCGAATTGTGAAGCTAATATATTAAATTAAAAATGCATATGTTGAATTATTTTTCTTACTTTTTGCATTGACTTTAAACTACCAAGATGCTAATTAATGCCTAGGTGTGAAATTATTTTTATTCAAAAAACTTTATTATTTTATTTATTTATTTATTTTTGAATTTCAGATTTTAATGAATAAAATGTGTTCTACAGTTTTGTTCTAATTTAGAATATTTCTGAGGAATTCAGCATTTGAATTATGCGATATACATATTTGTTTTAATACCTTAGATAAGCTAGTAAATTTACTTTAATTATGCATTTTATTCGGTTATATAATTATCTGGATTTTTTATGATCTATGTCAATTTTTTTTCAAATTCTGTAATATTTTTAGCGAAATTATATTTTTTTTAAGAACTTTCTTTTAATTTTATTAATATATTTTCGCATTTCACAAAAATGAAGAATTTTTATTTCTTGAAAATACTTTAAAAACTCTCAAGAAACGAAAATTACTATTTTTTTTTTCAAAATTACGAAAAAAGAAATGCAAAACATAATAGTAAATATTTCCCAACGACAAAATGTAGGAGGCAGTGTTAGTTTGTACTGTTGATTTTTTTCTATTAAAATAAACGAATATAAGTAAAATACTCAATCGTTTTCCTCATACCCAGAACGAATTACGAAACGCAATTAAGAAAATATTGAATTTTTTGGGGAAAGCAAACTAACTTCTAGACTAACCAAACTGTTTATTCCATTAAAATAATTTTTTAAAAAAACACGTATTAAAAATAAAATTATTAATTATAATTAGTATTTTGAAACTAAAAGAAAAAATATGACATTTGTTTTATGAAATAGCAAGAAAAGTTTATTTTTTACAGTACAATTATATCTTTTGTAAAATATATTAAATAATTGTATTTTTAAATGGATATTTCTAGTCCATATAAAATTAAATGAAAAGAGAATTTCTAGGAAAAAAGTATAGTAAATTAACAGTACGCAGTGCGTATTGTAATAAAAAATATTTATAGCATAAGTACTACGCATAATTTTTAAAAGTGGAGCATTTCCTTTTGTTAGTAGTTTGCAATATATAGGTTGGATAGTAATTCAAATTTATTTTCTAATGCATAAATACTTTACAAATATTTTTAATGAAAACTATTTAAAAAGTCGATTTAATTTTTTGATATAAATATGTAAAGCTGAATAGAATCTTCTCAGTATTTATTTTTTAATCAGTCTTTCTTTTTCGATTTTAGTAAATGCTTTTATTAATAAAATCTTTATAAATTATTTTTAATCTGAAAATTCGTAAAAAATATTTTTATACAAACTATTTGAAACTAATTGTTCTCATTTTGTAATATAATTATGTCTAATTGCAGTACAGTCTAGCTTTCAGCATTTTCTAAACAAGTTTCCAGAAATTTTATTAATAGGAAATAAATAAGTTGAGTAGTGTTCAATTGCAATCGCTCGGGAAATTATTTGATCATTCAATTAAATGCAGAAAAATTTAGTTAAATAAGTATTGACTCTTTTTTAAGAACCATTTTTAATTAAAACAAATCTCTTTTTAATATTGAAACATCAAAAAACACAGAAAAAATGAAAATAATAGAAGGAATCTTAAATTATATATAACTGTTTATCTTACAGATAAAAAATTAAGTTTTTAAATAAAAAGTTTGAGCAAGAAAAAAATTATAAAAAACACGTATTTTTAAAATAAAAAAGAGATAGGAACTAGTGTACATTATGCCCTACAATGTTTTATAAACTAAATAAGATTTTGTTTGAAAAAATAACTAAACCATTTAAATTGAATTTTATTTTGGGGTGAGCATATTTGTTTGTAAACTATTACAATTGTAAAAAAAATTTAAATGTTTGGAAAATTTTTTAATTTTTTAATGTTTAATGTTTAAGAATTTTTTATTTGCAAATTAGCTTTTATTTCGTATAAAATAACATCTAATAATAACAATACATAATTAAAATCAAGTTATTTGTCTTCAGTTGTTTATGAAATAATTCTAGTTTTTCTTAAAAAAACGAATTCATATTATGACAAACATATCAAATTAAATATATTGTAATACTTATTTTCAAAATATAGTATAAATGAAATTAATAAGTTTTAAAAAGTATTTTAATGGGATTATAATTAAAATTTTACGATTTATATCGTATTTAAGTTGCGTTTTATGTCATCTCAAAATCATATTATCACTTTAATACCTATACTTTTTTGTCCTCTTCATATCCTTTGCAAGTTCGTTGATAGTATGTAAAATATCGAATGAAATAAGTTGTTTTTAAGTATTATACTATCTATTATCCCATATCTAAAGTAATC